TACTACCAATAAATTGCTAGGAGCAGCTGCAATACTAAACAAGCAACTGTTTTCCTGCATCAGTTTCATCGCATTTTTGCCTCACAGATATCAGTACGCTATGTGATGGGGTGATTTAAATTACTTCGCTAAAAAAACACCAGAAGGTTGACTTTGAAAAAACAGTTTTACTGCCCTGAAATTCCTTTGTGTGCCTTTAAGGACAACATGTTAACTGTTACATATTGTAAAGACTGCCATAACAGCATTTACACAATATTTTGCCTTAAAAATCTACGGATTTCTCTCATGCTTTGGTGGGAACTTACAGCAACACCAATATCAGCACCAAGGACATAACAAAGGGTCCAATCCAACTTAATGTTCTGACTTTTTCTTCCATTAGAAGTCAAGGATTAAGGTGTTCAAAGACTTGTTTTTCCTAGGACATTGTAGAGTAGAACTCCCCATGTACAGCAGGGGCATTACTATATATTATAAGCTTTACACAATATGCTTAGAGTTACAATATAGATGTACAAAGGCTAGGTGTAATATAGCCAGATGCCACCATGCCGCATACCTACACCAGTTCACTACAATCTAACAGCAAAAACCTACAACACATACTAAGGGGCATTTATACAGTATGCTGCATAAGAAATATACTCAAATTAGAGTTTATTCTCAAATTAGTAGTAGAAGACTATGACTACTGGAAAAGATTTTGAAAAGTATTTTTAGTTACTCCTCAACTAAAATTGATGGTCTACAGTAACTTAAATGAGACAAGACTATCAAAATGTTCTTTTCATCTCACAAGAGCTGTAGATTTTTTGGTTACTGATCCATCTGAGTCAATATGTGAAGTCCCCAGTTTACAGCCGAACTTCCAGCATTTCAATGATGAATTCTGCAGACTTCACAACTATTTCTGGTGCTTCCACTTTTGTCCCATTCATTTTCTCAACATTCAAAGGACTCGGGAGTTTGGTCCAATTCTCCTCATCTATTCACTGGTTGTAATCATCATCCTATTTAGACCAGGGGCCAAAACTGCAGCCAAAATTTCTCCCCTGGGAGGTCATTAAGCACTGCCTCTCCAGTTTGGTAGAGCTGCAGTATTGGTAAATCTTGATTGAATCCAGTTTTATACAATACTGTCCTCGTGTCTTTTTATGACTCCAGAGTAGGTAGTCATTGGGGCACACAGAGGGAGTTGGGCCATTGAAAGGCAACTGTCTTCAACCGCACCCAAGTCTTGCCCTATGAAGCTTTGCTAATTGATGGTTCACGAATCAAATGGCAAACGCAAGCACCCATCAGCATGTTTTATATGATGGGAGCATGATGACTAGGCCAGGAAAAATCAATACATTGATCAATAACAATTATTAATATATAATAAATATATATGTATATATACAAAAGTCTGCAGAATCCATCACAGAAATGCTGGAAGTTCGGCTGTAAACTGGGGACTGGAAATATTGGCTCAGAAAATTTTGTTAATCTTGTCTCATTTATGTTTGGACCATCAATTTTAGTTGAGGAGTGACTAAAAAATTCTTCATCTCTTCCAGTAGTCATAGTCCTTTCTCTTTCTATTTATATAGATACATATAGTTTCAAACTTGCATGCTTAGATTTTATAACAGATTGCTGCAAGTTGAAAATTTAAAAAGAATTGTATTTGTCAACTTTCTCCTGCAAATCTCTGGTCTTTCCTTACCCTCCCCCATGTCAATTTCAAGAAGACTGACTACACCACTTGAATGTGTAATTATATTATACATGACATGGGAAGCAAATTCTACCATGTTCTATGGTCAAATGAAGATGTCTGAATCACACAATGGACTGGAACAGTGAGGGGAATTTTTCCAGAGATTAAAGGCCATGTTGATTTGATTATATCGATGACATCCTCTGGAAACCCCAAAACTGACGCAAGCGTGCGAATAAAAAAAAAAAGTTTGGCAAAATAAAAGGTGCCTTCTTTATGAAATCTAGGTGGTCACGAAGGATGAACAAATGACTGAACACACAGAGTATGGTATGACAAATAATAGAATCTTAATTTTCATTTCTTCACATTTTGTCCTTTTCCTTTGGAATTGATTTTGACATTCTAAGATATTAGTATCATTCTCCAGTATATTTTTTTTTTGCAATCTTTAGCATATATTTGGTAATTTTGCAGTTGCTTTGTAAGATTTACAGTATGGTCAAAACTTTTTTTTGAAACGGACAAAACTTATACCCACGCGGATGTCATCCATGTAATCAAATCAACATGGCCTAAGCTCTGAGCCAAACAAGATCCATGCAGATGATGTAAAAAGTTGCATGTTGTTACAAAAGTTATCCATTCTTAATTTGCTTTGCCCACCTATTTCATTGATTTCCTGCAAAGATCTGAGAACCAACAAATCAAATTGGTGTGGCCTGGCAGTATGATACACGTAGGACTACTAGTGCTGTCTACTGGTTTGCTGGAACTAGTTCAGAACTTGTAATCTTGGATCAGGGACCAAAAACCTGAACTAGTTCCAGAAAAAAATCATATCACATTCCTCTTTTTGTCCTAAACCTGGAATCTTCAATAGTCAAACATTTTTATGCAAAATGAAGAAAACATTTTTACCATTGGGTTTTGTCAAGTACATGTATCGGCCTCCGTAAATTATGTGGCCACGACTTTGCCCACAAACAAAATACAAGTCTGTACCTGAACCTAAACCTCTGGACTTGAATCCGGACCTGTACACAGCACTAAATACACCAGGGCACGACAAAGTGCTTCCGCCACCCCAACTACTTGCCCTTGTATTGATGCGAACAAGGTCAATCCGTCACCTTCATGACAACCTGCCCTTTTCCTTGACTCGTGCACCCAGAGCCAATTAATCCAGCTAATTAATTACCCCATATTTCAGACTAGTAATGAGACCCTGGCTGCAAACATCCGTCACAGTCCTTTCCACTATTGCCTGCTAATTAAGAAACAATGAGAGATGCGTATAGTTTGCTGCTTTCTTCATGTACACAACGTTGAATCATTGCAAATATTTTCATAGGTTTAGGTAATATGTAAAGATGTTAAATGTGTAGTAGTACTAGTATACAGCATATTCTTAACATCCAAGTGTCAGAAAAATGATGAAATCTTGTTATAGTACTTAATAATTTTATCTTATATGGTGCACCCCCAAAATTTTCGTGCACCTAATTTTTTAGGTTAGCTCTGAGAGCTCTGAGACTTTATTTCCGTCTTTTTCAGCGAGTAAACAAATACCTTAATCATGTTAGTAAAGGTATGATAAAAGCAAATTTAAAGGGATTTCCTGAGAGTCTTGGTATGTTATATTAGAACCACCTCTGTTGAATTGGGACATGTTCAATCTTACAGACTGATATATGGGTACTGCACGACAACCAGTATTACAGCTTAATGTCAAGGTTCTTCTTTTCTTAGAGGGTGTAACAAATAGCATGTTGATGATGAGAAATAGGCAAGAGAGGGCACCGTTATACAGGATTCCTTTGAATTGCTAATCTTATCCCATTCTCTTCACATAAACATGATTTCACTAGAACAGTTGAAGCTAAGAAGAGTGGCCCTACAATGTAGTGTACTTGGTGACAAATTGCATTTTAAGGTTCCAGAAAATTGTTCACTTTTTTCTGCTTGATTTATACAATTGAATAGCAAAAGTGAAGATTGAATATGGTTCAGTGCTTAACAGTCATCCAGACATAAACAAAAGGTGTGCCTTTAATGGGAATTAAAGTTTGAATTCACCTATACCGGTACTAGTCATGCATAATTTGGTTGGTACTAAAACTTCCAAAGCATAATCAAATAAACATTATGTCCACAGGGACTGTATCTTGGGGCTTAGAATTGATTTTGGATGTGCATTTAATGGTGGAGGCGCCAAAAGAATTAGCAACAGTCAAAAGATGTGGATGACTTGAACTGTTACAGACTGGCATACATTTTAAGAAGAGCCATCAGACGTACACATTTTAAGGAGATACCATTAGAAATAAATTGTGAAAAGGATCCGGAGATGCACCAATGGGTGTAGGAAGAATTTTGATTACCTCCTGGTTAGAAGTATTGTTTTGGGCAGTGCTGGTTTAGGGGAGTTTGTATGTATGGTGTCCTCAGCAGAAAGGATTGGAAGTGAGTGGGTGGAGATTTCAGTTGATTGACAGGGTTATGACCTGGTATGCCCTGGGTGGTAGGATGTGGTATGATGTCACCATGTGTACTGTGTAATCATGGTATGAAACACATACTGGAGCAAGTTAGAGTAAGTTATGTCATACAACCGTATTGAGCAATAAATCCATTCTATAATGATGAGTATTTCTCAATTATCTTACATGGAACGAACGTGACGTCAGAGACATGTGACGATCACCGTACATGTAGTAGCGGGTCATACATGCCAGATAACTTGTGTCGCCCCCTGTCTCTGTTCAGGGTACTGGTCAGTGAGCTCTAATGTAGACCGCTTCCTCCACTCCTCTTGCAAAGAAGTCTGGTTCAGAATCAAGGATTTTGTTGTTGTTGTTGTTGTCCTAATGTTTAACGTCTATTATGTTGCTTATGTGGTCTCTAGGTGCTCAGTTTTACGCTTGGTTCATCTAATCTGGGTCAAAATCCTTGATTCTGAACCAGACTTCTAATTTTTTTTCTTACCTGGGGTGACACATTTTCTAGTGTCTTTTTCGTCATGTTCCAAGAGAAGACGGGTCCATTCCATGAACAAGGTCAAAGGAGTCAGCCAAAAATTTAGGGCAAGTCCCAGTTCATTCCAGTGTTGGACGGAAAGTGACTTCATTTCATTATGACTTGAATTTAACTTCAATTCAATTCAATTCAAGATACCAAACATAACAGACAAACATGACATACAATGTTGCCCGAATGGCGTTGATATTTACAAGATAAAATGTCCAAAAATTGGTCAATCACAGATGAAATTTCATGAATATTTAGAACTGACCTTTTTTCTGGAGATGTAGACGGGCTTGTTCATGACTATCCATGTTACTGTTTCGGCACAGTCTGGGGAGGTCAGGGAACCCTGGTAGGTCATGTAGTGGGGCGTGGTGGGGAACAGGTTGGTCAAGTTGAAGTCCTCCACCCTTGCTGCTGCTCCTACATGGTGAAATATATAATACAATGCGTCAGGCAGACTTTATAATTATTATTAGCATGTCAGCAGAATGTACTGCGCCTGCGCAAAATCTGTCTGTGCATGGAACTTTTGTACAACATCTCGTTTAAAGTCATATTTGCTTAGTCAAGGATGACTCACTTCAAATGCAGTGTTGGACAAGATACTGTCTGGCATAGAATTCTGATGTCTTTGGTAACTCTCTAGTACATTTATGTGATTTACAATCTTTCTGTGTTGTTGATAGACTTAGAAATTTAATGGAACTTCAGAGATCTATTACATGTCAACATCTTTCTAACTGTCAGTGGTAAGTTTTTGCTGTGCCTGTGTGACATCTGGATTTTTCATGTTTTTTTTTTTAAGTGTAGTCAATGTTGCATCAGAATTTTGCCCATTAAAAGTGAAATTATTTTGGACACAACATTTGAAAACTATTAATGGCATGTCATCCTTAAATACGCAAAAACAAGATGTTGCACCAAAGTTCTCATAATGCACAAAACATTAGATGGGTTTCGTGCAGGCAAAGTACGTTCTGTCATCGTGCCGGTTTCTGCACTTCAGCCAAAAGGGGCTGCAAACACCACAAACACATCACAGAAACTGCAGGATTCAGCAGCAGCATGCAAGGACAGACACAACACTCCACAGTCACAAAACACAGATGGACAACACAGATGTACAATGTAACCTCCTTAACATTTATCTGCCCCATTTCATATTACCGTCACTTTGAACAACAGTGTGTTTGAGAGATCTCTTAGTGCACAGTTTAAGTATGTAGGAGTGCATTATATTGGGAGACATTGCACTGTTTACATGTAGACCCATTTTTTCAGTGTGGCAGATATATGCGAGCTGACAGAATTATGTTAGCAAAAGTTACATCAAACAACGCACAAAATAAAATCTGCAGACAGAGAATGGTGCAGAGATTTTGTACCACACCAAGGAGCTGGTGTGTTACGCCGAAGGGCGGTTATACCGGCTATACTGATACAGATACACAGAAATGCTAGGAAAATGTGCATGGATGGCCATAGGATGCTACCACTGTGCATCCATGCGTACATGTGTGAAAACTATCAGTTACTGTACTGATACTGAAATGTGCATTTGACCCATGCGACGCCAGTGCTGGTCCTGAGCAATTTTGTGATGTGTTCGGGCATCCGTATTCTGCATAACTGTGCATAGATCCCTTTCCTTGTTCCATCTAGGGTCACTTACGCAATAACACCCCTCCATCTAATAAGTGGTATGGTCCAAGGCTGTGGTAAAGCAATAACCTGGACCTAGACTACTCTAAATAAAGGGGTGATATAGCACGTAGGACCATCTTAGAGGAACAGTGAAGATTTGATATGAGATACCTTTTAGTTTACCGTACTTGTCAGGAAAGGGCTGGCTAGTTTGGTTTGCTGAAGTTGGATGAAAGACTTGGATTAAAATCTGTGTACTACGTATGTGTGTCTACAGCATCACTCAAAAGTCTATTCGATATCAATTTAGAAATAAACCAGTTAATATAAAATAGCAATAACCATAACTTGCAGTTGGCTTATACATGATATTAAATCCAGAAGGAGACAAGGCATGTTGATGTGCAATCAATTACGAAAAACTACCAAGTACAAGTAATGAATCTAAGTCTTATTGTCCTCACTCCACCCAGGTGTAAAAATGGTACCTGACTTTGGTTGGGGAGATAAAAGGTGGGGCAAAAAGAGGTATGGGCTCCGCCATCCAATACCGTGGCCTAGACACAGTCAATTAACAACCCACTGCCCGACAGCCTCAAAAAGGCTACGGCACTACCTTTACCAATTCTACACACTCATCCACACACATGCGTGGAATGCAGAATGTTTCAGTTGCGTTCCATACTTCATTGGGTAGTAACATCCCATGTCTGCAGGTAATGCCACTAACAAGATTGTGTAATCTTTCACTTGGACTGCTGCCCAACCCTCGCGATGCAGCGATGATGATCAATGGTGTAACACCATCCACAGCAGACATCTCGGCTTGATGTTAACTACCTTGTTACATCTTACCATCATAATAAAACATTCTGTGAGGTGCCTTGTTGAGAAAAGTTGGAACAACAACGACATCTGCTGTTACAGTAGTTCTCAGAACGGGACGTTAAGCTGTGGTCCACTGTTCATTGGGCTTGTTGAAAAGAGCTAGGAAAACTTCCCCAGTACAATGAATCTGTAAAAATCTTCTCTGTCAAGACCAGTGGAAGAGAAGCTCTTCTGGATATAAAGCTGGATTGAGAACATTGCTACAGCACCAATTACAATATATCATCATGGTGACTGCCCTCTGGTCTACTGGTCATTGACCTTACATGTACATGTATGTGTTTAGAGAAGAAAAAGAAACAGTATGCTTTCCATCTGCAAACTTAAGGTAATATTTAAAACAAATTATTATCTAAAATAGCTATTAGATGTATCTCAAATTTTAATATAATATTCTTGTTATTTATTTTATCCATTAATTTCTCCCAAATAGCACATCTACAGAGGGATTGTGTATATATTGCCTGAAATCATGAAGCTCACAGATCATGCACTAATTCTGTCAATACAACCTTAAACAGCACTAAGAGACTCTGCCATAAGGTCTTTCTGTGGTTCACAGGAGAAGAGACATTACCACTTACTATGAACATCTGGGAAGGTGTCTTTTATGTCAGTATGACAAAAGGCACCACCATGATGGTCTGTAATATCTATAAAGGTTGACTTGCTATGTAGGGCAATTGTAAAAATGAATGTCCTCTTGCATCAGGTATTTGCAAGAATACGTGGCAATTTCAAAATGTAATAAAATTCTTATTATCATCAGTGCTAGATAAATAAATGGAGACCATAGAAATCTGCTTTAAAAAGAGTAAAAACAAACTTTTACTTTATATAGAATTAACATGATCATAGAATTATATTTAGAATTTATATAGAATTAACAACATAGAATTAACAATTCTTATTAAAATCAGTGCTAGATAAATAAATGGTCCATGCAGGAGACTATAGAAATCTGCTTTAAAAAGAGTAAAAATAAGTCTTTTACTTTACATAGAATTAACTAAAGGTATCATAATGCATAATGGTACATACAAACTTGAATGTATAATTGTATGTTACAAGTAGTTTAACCCTTGTCCTGCTGGCATTCCTGGCACAATATCTTTCAATAATTTCATGTCTTAATTAGATCATAGACCACCAATTTTTTTTGCCCTGCAGTGGCATAGTTACTTCCGCATTCGTTGCGTTTCGCTGCGGTGTGATGCGTTGCACGAGAAATACCCCCAAATCGTACCTATACAGGGTGTTATATAGATGGTACTGTATGTGCCGCGCGACATATGTTGCGCACAGCAGGACAAGGGTTTCAGTATGAGCAACAAGTAAATATTATCTTTAACACTGTCATAATTATAATATTCATCACCTATGAAGAACTTAAAAGTATTCCTGATTCCAAATTGCTCAACAATCATACTTTGAAAGCCTTAGGACATATTTAAGCCACTACTAATAGTGCACTGTGTGATATTCACCAGGCTCAACATATCTTCAAGTTATTCATTCTAACAGCAACACAAGGCCTAAAATAGCCATTTTCTTTATCACAACGAAAGTCTATCAACAATAACTTTCTTCCTCCCATATGGAGGTGTAAAACATGAATTCAACCAAATAAGCCGAATACGACTCTACTGTTTTCTTGCGGCACAGAAGGTACGAAAGATTTTTATCATCGATATTCCATAAAACTCACCAAATCATATTGAGGAAGACCATAAGAAGCATGAGTGTGATAAAACTCAATCGTGTGAGGAGGTATTTTGTGATGGTGGGAGTTTATTCAAGGCACACAGTTTGACTACAAACACTGCGTCAAAGATATAGCTTCATAGGATAAGCCATACGTTATGCAATTCAATATCTTTTAATACAGGATTTACAGCAACACAAATGAAACTTGTATCAAGAATGGTTTATAGGTGTAAACTTTGAGATAAGATCCCGTATACAGAAATTATGTTCCATATTGCATGATATGTTGGATATAGCTGGAAATTAATGCATGATCACAGCAAGCAAGGCGGCAAATGTCTGTGTCGAATTAAAGTGTTTCACTAAGTTATAATTTTGAGACCTGTCCTTGGTACTGAAACTGTTGTGATACAACACTTTTACTACGAACACTCAAGAACACGGAATGTTAGTCTTCTTGCTTTGGCCAATAAAGCGTTTCACACAAAATAACAGAAGTTCCATTTGCCAGAGGCTTCTGATAGTTTTGATTTGATCCAGCTCGTAAGTTGTGCATCGTGATTCCCAGTTCCATATGATGTGACTTCAACATGATTGCTTCTCCTCAATGGGCCATATCAAACATCTGTCTCGGGGTGAACACTCTCCACAAAACACCTATCAGGGCTGGAAATAACATGTGCATGTGCACCTTTAGTGCAGGTAAAATGGAGGCTGTGTAGGTATTCCTGATGTCTACATGTACCTGCACCTGACCTGTACTGGTCCATGTACTGGGTATATGCAGGTTAGTGCAGGTAAAATTGGAGCTTTGCAGGTATTTCTGATGTCTACCTGCACCTAACCTGCACTGGTCCATGTACTGGGTATATGCAGGTTAGTCCAGGTAAAATAGGAGCTGTGCAGGTATTTGTGATATCTGCCTGCACTGGGTTTATATATTAAAAATATATGCAGATTTTTATTTGCTGCATTTACTGTTATATGAACTTAGTTATATGAAGTATACAATACGTAATGTCACATTGAATGTTTTCTGAATAGTTTTTAGTATGGTCCATACTTTCTCAATTCTGAGTGGTGCAGGTGAAAATTGTCTGGTGCAGGTAATTTTCATTGTAGCCTGTACCAGAACAGGTACATGTACTATGCATAAAAAGGATTTCAAGCCCTGCAATAGCATATCATAGCTCCTATCTGCCTGAAAAAACATTCACTTCAATTCTATCTCAATCCTCCTTTTCCTGCAGGAAGGAGCCATCATTACGTTTTACTGGTGGAAATGAGGACAGATTGGTTTCTTCTGCCGGCAATCTTCATATATAGACACTGCGCCGGTTTGGATGCCTGCCATTCAATTATACATGGACCGGCGCTGAATTGTAGCTCCCCTCGGAGCCAGAGGTCGACGCCGGGGGTCACATCTATTGAGTTTCCTAACGAAATGTCTGATATCATCGCAAAATACATTTCCCCTATAGATCCGTCCCATACATGCACTGGGGGAGGGGGGCGGAATTGGGACAGCAGAGAATTGGACTTCTTGGCTGAAGTTGGAAGACTCCACTGAAGGTTTAAATGTGGGGAGGGGGCATTGTTTGGTCTGACCCATTGGGTTTTGATGGTTAATTCTAAGAACTGTTGATATGTATATATTATTATGTTGCAATACAGATTTGGTACATTAAGAAAAGGTAGCTGTGTTATCAATAAAAGACGATGGACTTGATCAAAATCATGTAAAAATGGAACAATAGCAATTGTCCTGGAGCAGTAACTGATAGAACTACTAATTTACAAGGCTGACTGAATTGCATGGTTAACAAATTTGCTTAAAAAAGTGTGATTTTTAGCATTCAACCATTCAACGTGATGGAAAATGCAGCCACAGTTTGTGACTTGAAGGCTACAAAAGTGGAAGCAAATGAAATCATGCCCTTTTTGTCTTTATTAATCTTAACATAAAGTGAGTCACATGTGAGCACATTAGCAGAATGTACAGTAACTGTACTAGCACAACACCTGTAATGTATTGTGCATAGCACTTTCAAATTGGCAGAATGTCTCCTCTAAGTTTGTACTCATATTAAAGGTCAACATCTTGTCAATAGTTTTCAAATTTTGCTTCTGAAAAGATATCATCTGCGAATTAAAGGGCAAAATTCTGATGCAATATTGACCAAACATGCAATGGAAACACGAAAAATATGGGTTTTGCACAGGCGCAGTACATTCTGCTGTGAGAGGGTGGAAACACACACACGCAGTGCTGCCATGTGAACATGTCAGCAAGTTTGAACATTGACAGTCAAGGAAAAGAAGGGTAAACTAATGGGAAGCAGCCTAAGATTAAAAACCTTAACTTCATAGCCTTACCTTTGTATGTGACGTTTTGTAATCTGTCATTCCACAACAGTTTGTCCAGCTCTGGGTTTGTTGTATTCCCAATCTGCAAGGTAAAAGAAATTACAGTTATAGAATATAATGGGATAAACAAATATATAGTATAGACTCAAGATTATGGTACCTTACTGTCAATTGATTTGCTTGTGAGGGGTTTCAATATGAGGAAAAAACATTTTTTTCACTGCATCTAAATTTCACAGTTGAAGCAATTATGTAGAAATGCAGTAGAAATACTAACACATATTTGCTGTATTGTGATTTTGAAGGTCATAAATTTGCAGTTGAGAGGTCACTGCAATAATAAAACCATCTTGAAAGTGAACCAGGAACTGTTGAACATAAAAAAAGGCCATTGCCAGCTTGAAATACAAATATGTCCTTTCAAAAATGTTCCAGATATTGAGTTCTTATTCTAAACATGTCCAGACAGAAATTAAAGTCTACACTATGTTCAATAGGAATTTGAATAAGAACTACAAAAGCGCAGAGATAGTGTGTCAAGATTGAACTGCTAAAGGAGTGGAAGAAGATGCATCACTCTAAAGCCCTTAATACCTGGAAGTAGGCTATGAAGAAATTTGCAATATGATACGTTGCTGGATGGTCACTTCCATACAAGATTGATATTGGGTATTAGTAAGGAAATGTCAGCAGAATACAAAGGGGCATTCAAAGTTACCAAAATGGCGAGGATAAGTACTCAGAGTAAATGTTAAAGTTTACCAGGCCATGATTAGGTTCTTAAAGTTCAAGGCAGTACTGTCTCCCATATTGTGTCATGTATAATGTACAAACTATAGACCTAGCACTTAAAAGTATTTAGCTTCCATCCCAACTGAAATCTCCTAGAGGCTGCATCAATTTTTCAGACTTGGTTTTTGTTGGATAAATCAGCCTGTCAGAAATTTTGTAATGGGAATGTGATATAATCTTCTACATTTTGTACCAATGACAGATATCCGAAGGGTGTTATTTCTATTCTGTGCAGCCCTTCCCTGTTAGCCTTGAGGCGGATGAAACATGCCAGGTAATAACTCTGGCCCTTGGTTTGAGTGATTTGCAGTGAAAAAGCAATACTGAAGGTGTTGTTTTCCTGACAGCTGCTCTATTTGAAAACCACTTCTGAAATCTCTCATATCACCGGAAGCTGGTGTTTTGCCATCTACAATGTTAAAGATATGGAAGCTATGTTTTTAAACTTGTGGCTCACTTTTTTCCTGTGTGTTTTATCAGTCACCATCTCATTTCTTTCTTTCTTTTTTTTAAAAGTTTTTTCTCTTTCTTTCTTTCTTTCTTTCTTTCTTTCTTTCTTTCTTTCTTTCTTTCTTTCTTTCTTTCTTTCTTTCTTTCTTTCTTTCTTTCTTTCTTTCTTTCTTCTTCTTCTTCTCTTC